TTCTTGTTCTCTGCTGAGGATTGAACCCTAGGCACTTGAGCATGCAAGGTGTGGTGGTCTGAAAGGAAACGGCCCCAACAGACCCATAGGGAGTAGCACTATTAGGAGGTGTGGCCTTGTTGGACGAAATATGTCACTAGGGGTGGCTTTGAGGTTTCAGAAGCTCATGCCAGGCCCGGTGTCTCACTGTCTTCCTGCTGCATTCAGATTTGGATGTAGAACTAACTCTCAACTACGTCTCTAGCACCATGTCTGCCTGTGTGCCTCCATACTTCCCGCCGTGACAATAACGGACTAAATCGCTGAAGTCTAAGCAAGCCCCGATTAAATGTTTCCCTTTATAAGAGTCTCTGTGAGCAGGGCAGTGGTAGCACACGCTTTTAATTCCAGCGCTTGGAAGGCAGAAGCAGAGGCAGGTGGATCTCTGAGTTTGAGGCCAGCCTGGTCTACAGAGCTAGTTCCAGGACAGCTAGGGCTACACGGAGAAACCCTGTCTCTGAGATCCTTATGGGCATTCACCGTCGCACCTGTTTTATTCAGTGTTGGGGCTCAAACCCAAGTCTTTTTTTTTTTTTTTAAAGATTTATTTATTATGTACACAGTGTTCAGACTCCATGTATGCCTGCAGGCCAGAAGAGGGCACCAGATCTCATTACAGATGGTTGTGAGCCACCATGTGGATGCTGGGAATTGAACTCAGGACCTCCTGAAGAGCAGCCAGTGCTCTTAAACTCTGAGCTATCTCTCCAGCCCCTCAAACCCAAGTCTTAATGTATGCTAGCAAGAACTCTGCCAACTGAGCCACAGCCCCAGGCTCTCCCGTTTTTCTTTTCAGTTATGACTGTGTCTTCCTTGGCTGAGGGCAGGGCCTATGTGGCCTTCCTTTGTAACTACCAGAAATAATTTTCCATGAATGGGCAGAACCTCTGAGTTTCGCAGCAGGAGTTATACCCAGTTCTTGGACAATGATTAATTATTACAGAGACCCTTTGAACTCTTTGGATCCCATGTAGTTAAAGGAAATCCTTAGGCCAGGAAGTTTCTCTGCTAAGGCCTGGGCCTGGCTGAGATGAAGCCCAGATAAACATCTGATTTAGCTCCAGAGGCGTTCTCCCCCCAGCTCACATCGTCAGTTACTTAGGAGTCGTCAAGAGTGGCCCCGTCAACAATCGATGAGATGCTGGCCGCAGGCAGGGCTCTCTCAGCTTCAGGAAACCTGGTCCCTGAACCAGGAAAAGCAGAGCCAGGCTGGTTATTCCTGAGCCGGATAGAGGAGGCCCAGCACCTTGGCTAACTCCAAGAACTGTGTGCTGTTAGGTGAACCTGAGGAGAAGGATCACCTCCCAGGAGACAGCTATGAGGGGAACTGACCCATGGGAGCCTTACAATTCCTCAGGAAGTCTCTCTTGGTAAGCTTCCTGTCCCTGGCCCCCAAAGCACTTGTGACAGATTCCTGCACTCTTTCAAGGATGGGTCATGAATCTTTGGAACTGCCAGCTGAGTCTGATGGCGCTTGCCTATATTCCCAGCATTCCGGAGGATCAAGAGTTCAAGGCCAGCCTGACCTACAAACACAGGCTTCTAAACTTTTGTTTGTAATTGTGGGGGATCTGCCGACTCCTTGGAAACCAGCTTGAGAAGCCCTAGAGAGCAGTGAGGGGTTGTGGGTAAAAGGAGAGGCAAATATAATCGACATACATTATGTCCATGTATAAAAAAAATACGTCATGATGAAAAACAAGAAAATGCTGAGCAGGTAAAGGTGCTGGCCACCAAGGGTGAGGACCTGAGTTTGAGCCCCTGGACCCACATGGCGGAAGAAAAGAACCAACTCCCAACTCCTGCAAGGTGGCTTCTGACTTCTATGTGTGCGTTCTCATACCCATACCCACACATAGTCACACAAACTAAATTATAAAAATACATTTTTTTTAATGCTTGAAAGGCCTGCCCTAGAATCAAATGCCCAGAGGGCAAGTTTCAACAGCTCCAAATGCCCCACCTGCAGCATGCCATAAAAGGGGTCCGAAAGTGGAGATGGGCGCCAGGTGGGCACTGCAGGGTCTTTTTAGCTGTTTGATAGAAGTAAGTGAATTCTCAAGATGCTTTTTGTTAAGTTGGGAGCATAGCCCCCAGCTCCCAGGCCTGAGAGTTGTATTGGTCTGGACTCCAAATCCCAGCATGCCATTTCTGACCCCTCCCTGGGGGGGGGGTCAGGACCACTCCCACAGAGTATTTAAGTGAACTCCCAAAAGAGGATCACGTGGTCTCTTTTCCTTCCTCCTGGTGGTAGCATTCTCACCTCCTGGTTCCCCCTCGGGGGCCACCCGAGAGTGCAGGAATCCCATTAAACCTAGATATTTTTTAATTTGGCTTGTTGTGATTTGGTTTGATTGGGATTTTTGTGTTGGCAGAGAACTCCAGACCAATACAACTCTCAGGCCCGGGGGCTGGGGACTATGCTCTAACTTAACACTTTATTTTTTGTTTTTATTTATTTATTTATTTTGACTTTAAAAAAATATTTATTTATTTATTTATTTATTTATTTATTATGTATACAATATTTTGTCTGTGTGTATGTCTGCAGGCCAGAAGAGGGCACCAGACCTCATTACAGATGGTTGTGAGCCACCATGTGGTTGCTGGGAATTGAACTCAGGACCTTTGGAAGAGCAGGCAATGCTCTTAACCGCTGAGCCATCTCTCCAGCCCCCGACTTTTTTTTTTTTTTTTTTGAAACAGGGTTTCTTTGTATAGTCCTGGCTATCCTGGAACTCACTCTGTTCAGGCTGGTCTCGAACCTAGAGATCTGCCTGCCTCTGCCTCCCAAGTGCTGGAATTAAAAGTGCCACTGCCTGGCATGGAACGAGGAAAACTTAATTGAGAAAACGCTTCCATAATATTGGTCTGTAGGCTAATTTGTGGAGTATTGTCTTGACTAATGACTGATTGGGGGGGTGGATTCACTGTGGGTAGTGTCTGTCACCTCTGGGCTAGGGGTCCTGGATTGTTTATGAAAGCAGGTTGAGTTATCCTTGGTGGCACAGACCTTTAATCCCAGCTCTCAAGATGCAGAGGCAGAGGCAGAGGCAGGTGGGTATTTGTGAGTTTGAGGCCAGCCTGGTCTACATGGGGAGCTCCAGGACCCATGCTGAGAGTGAGGCTACATAGGAACCCCAACCCTGTCTCACACAAAACAAAAGAGTGAGGTAGCTGGAGACATAGCAGGGCCTTCACCGGGTTCTCCTGAAGTTGGGGGACAATCACAGCTACATATGAAGTCTGGCTGGTGAGTCCTTTCCCCGTCATTCCCTCCGGACTTTACAGTGGTGGATTTTTGTTGTTGTTTGAGACAGAGTCACACTATGCAGCTGACCGGAACTCTGCTCTCATAGAAATCTAGAATACCTGACCACTGAAGAACTCAACGCGCAGGTGCTGGTGCAGGCGTGATCTCAGCGCCTTAGAAGAACAGTGAAATGTAAGCACCATTTTCGCTTTGCAGCTACGAAAAGCCACGTACCCACTGACACACGTTACTTATGTGGCTGTTTGCAAAAGTCAGTCTTTCCTACCGGATCTTTCAGCTGCTAGACCACGACAGCTTCTGTAATACCAAATTGCTTAACTTCAGCTCAAAACAGGCTAAGCTTGAAATACCAGGCTGAACAGGAAAAGAGTGAAGTCCACAGCCCAGGATTGTTTTTTTTTTTTTTTAAACAATTCACCTTTAACCAATGAAAACTCTGCCTACCTTTAAAAGCCGCGCTTTGCTTCCTAGAGGTGTGGCCTCTCTATCTACCCACAAACCAGTATTGCAGGGCTCTTTAGAGGCTGTCTATGATTGGCTGATCAAGACAGCAACATTTGAATTTAAAGGAAGGCCAGGATGTGGTGAGTTCCTTCTGTAGTGGAGATAAAGCTTTGCTTTGATAGGAAAGTCAGCTGGAGGCGGGAGATAGGGGTCAACACGGCCCCGGCCGGTGAGACCACCAGACCACCGGCTCCTGCTGCTTCTATTCACTAGGAAATCAGCCCCTACTTCCAGTAAGATACCTTTGTAAACAGTGAAGGGTTACTGAAGTGCTGATAGCTACAATTTATAGTTTGAAATTGAATTTTAAGAAGGTAATCTTTAAGAGAAGCAAAGTCCCTCTGCGGAGGCCTAGCTGCAGTAGGAGGCAGTCTAGGGCGGCCAGTGGCTCCATGTTTCCTGTCCCTCAGCTGTCCACTGGCCACCAGGGAGGCTGTATGCGCAGGCAACCATACATTTTACAAAGGTAAAGAAAAAAAAAAGGCAGACAATGATTGATTTTCCCCCAAGGTTTTACTATGTAGTCCTGGCCTACAATTCAATATGTAGACTACTTACCTTGAAACTCTCTGCCAACTGCCTGCCTCTGCCTTCTGAGGGCCACCACTCCCAGCTAAATCTATGTCTTCTTTAGAAGTGTTTGCCTCATGTTAAGAATTGAAATTGCAGCCACTTAGTATATTTAATAGAAACTCTCTCATCTGGATTGAATACTCAGCCAAATGAATTAGGATAAATGGGGGGGGGGGGGATCTCTGGGGCCAAAGAGTTGGTTCAGTACTTAAAAACCCTTGATACACAGAGGACCTTGCCTTCAATCCTAGCACCTACCTGGAGGTTCACACACGCCTGAAACTCTAGTTCCAGGGATCCACGCCCTGTGGTCTCCTTGGGTACTGCATGCACACAGTGCACAGACATATGAAGACAAAGCATTCATACCTGGAAAATACCAATCTTAAAAAAGAACCTTAAACAATACACATTTCTCTCCTATATAAAGCATATGGCTTCAGAGAACTTGAAATGCCAAAGTCCTGCCATCCAAACACCTGCCTCAGTACTGGCTTTCGTGAGACAGCCAGACACTTTCCCACACTGTACATCACGTCACACGCACGTCTAGCGCATTGCACAACTCCCAGTCACCGAAGTAGCAAGGAGAGCGCCCAAGGTATTTTGTTGAAATTCACTTTATTAAAAAAAAAAACAAAAAACTCATGAACAATAAATTACAATACTTTCCCCTTTATAAATTCTTCATAAAATATATTTGACAATTTTAAAAGAAAAATTTTAAAGTTGCTTTCATTTCTGATGTGCCTATGACATCGTTTATTGACTACTTTGTCATGCTGGTGAATTATTTTGTAGCTGCTACAATAGTTTGATTGGTAACATTTTACAATTAAAAACAAAGAAAAAAACAAGAACAAAAATCCAGACCTGCAGAAAGAACTATTCTGTGCTATTTATCTGACACTTAACACTTACATCATTGAAATGACAAAGCATCCCTTAGCACCAAGAATCTACAGCCCCCATGTTCTAAGTGACAACTAGTGCAAAGTAACATCTAGGACCTAACTGTACAACCCTACAGTGACGGGACACAGCTGCCTATGAGCGTTATCGGAAATATTTGGTCTTTTTCAATTAAGACAAATTTCATAAAACACTAGAAACCATGGCAACAGACTATGAGGAATAACTGTTTATTGAGTACCTATCATGGGCAAGGCACTGTGCACAATATCTGGATTGCATTTGTCTTTTAGCAAATACCCAAATTTTCCAATTATCACTCCCCATCTTGATTTCTTACCCGTGACTGGAGAAAGTGCATGGCTAAATGTCATTTTTTAAAAAAAGGTTTATTTTTATTTTTTTAATCATGTATATGTGTGTGTGTGTGTGTGTGTGTGTCTATGGAAGCAAGAGGATACTGGGTTCCCTGGAGCTGGAGTTAGGTGGTTGTGAGCTACCCAACATGGGTGCTGGGAACTGAACTCTGTTCTGTGCAAGAGCAAGTTCTCTAAACTGCTGAGTCCAGCCCCCCCCCCCCAAATGCAAATCTTAAATTGTTGTCAAATCAACTAAACTTTAGTGCTGAGCACACAGTAGGTACTTAATAAATACCTCTGACTGAAAAGAACAAAGAAAGACAAAGAAATTACTATCCTTTTGTTGATTATCATAAGCTATTTTAGAATACAAGGACTTGAGAAAATTCTGGAAGAAATTTCCCGATCACCCCACACTCTTACCTCTAATGAAAGAAAGAATTATATTTCACAAATAAAAATCTTTCAAAATAAATTATAACTGGGGCTAGACATGTAGCTCAGTGGCAAAGCCTTTGTGTAGCACATGCAAGGCACTGGTGGGATCCCAGTGCCAACCAAAACAAAAGACAAAGCAAATTACACATTATTTCAAGGAGACAGGCTCAGAAGCTATGTGCTTAGGATGTATGGGCTTCTAGTGCACAGGTACTTGTAGAACAAATGAACTGTTGGCTACGTCACATATCGATCTGACGCAGCGCCAAGTCATTGAGAATACATTATAATGAGACTTTCTAATTTCCTGGAACTTGATCCCCTCGTCAGATCTGTGTCAACTTGATGACCTAGAGGGTCAATTACCATGAATGTCTAGTATGCTTCTATTCCAGAAAGAATTATTTTAGTTAAGTCTGCAAGTGATATTAGGTGTGACTTTTTTTTTTCATTTGATGGGATTTTAATAAAGCCTTTCTATTCATGTTTCTAAACCTCCAGCTTTACATGTTTTATTTTTTTTTTTGCGTTTTATCTTTTATTACCCTCTGAACACATGAGTTAACTTACTGCCTTTAGGGTGCTAGGGATTGAACACAGGGCCGCTCACTGAGCTAGACCCAGCCCCAAGGTGAAGGGTGGAGTTTCAAGCATTGAGGAGACACGGTCAACACGCTGCTATTTTGACTTTTGCATTTTAGTGCTTTATAAGGATCCATGGGGGTCAGTGTCCCACACTTCCCTACCTGCCCAGGGCCCAGGGCTCCACCCCAGGAGGGGTGGGTGAGGGTTTAGTGCATCAGAAAGCTTCATTTGGAGATACAATGGTAGACTCTAATAGCATATTCTGGTTTAGGAAAGACTCCCTTTCCCGCATCAGCATGGACAATCTAGGGACAAACATGCAGCTAGAGTCTCACTTCAGGAGTTAGGAGGCTCTTGCTTTCTGACTGACAACACCAGGTGACGATATGATACCCACAACTTTTCTGCTCGAAAAGCAGTTGATGGCACAAAATTTTATCTATTTGCCAAACTCTGTGTGTATCATCTCTCACTTTGGAAAAAAGCAACCAATATTTATGACAGTGATTACCAGTCCCATTACTGTATCACAGTGCCAAAGTGACAGGGACTCCAGTGATCCAACAGGAAGCCACATCAGGGCCAGCAACTCGAGGGTGAGCACATTTGGTTTCTTCAACTTTATGCTGAGACTTAGAAAAAGTCATAAAACTCAAAATTAATACATCAAGTATTACAGTCGTGTAAAGCAATGTTTCAGAGCAGAAGAATACCATCCTCAGGTCACGGCAGATGTGCAAGCACACACATGTCCCAGTGCAGTGGTTTAAACAAACGCTCAGTTACCTGAAGGTCTGGCTGAGCCATCGGCATCCTTGCCGACCTCCTACCAAGTGACTGAGACTAATTCCACTCGAAGAGCTACAGGGCCCGGAGAGCTCAGACTTACTCCAGCAGCTTGGCTTAGCTCCAATTACGTTTACTCAGCCATTTTAGACCCTCCAAAATGATGCCTCTCAAGAGATGTATATTGGGAAAACAAAACAAAACAACAGACAAACAAAAAATAAAAGTGTCTTTCCAGGAGCGGAAGGGGCAGGTAGAAGATGAGGGGTGGTTCTGTGTGAGTTTTCATCACCAATTTCACCAGCAAATCTCAAAAACCCAAACCTCTATCAAATAATTTAAACAGAAGTGGCATTTTCTTCATGTGGAATGCAAAATGCACACATTCACATACTTACATATACATAAATATATACATATATGTTTCCTTTACAAAGCTTCAAAGGTTGCATGACCAGCATGCAAACCTCTTCTTCCATGGAAATGCCTAATACTGACAAGGAATGTCTAAAATACTTAAAGACATATTTCCAGAAAATTGGACTCTCTTCTCTGCTTGGCTTTTAGGAGAATTTTTTCTGCCAAACTTTTACCAATGATCATTAAAAAAAATTTTTTATACCCCATTGGTAATACACATTCAAAACATACAATAAAATGGCCTGCATGGAGTAAGAAAAATGAGAGAAAAAAAATGACCCCACAATGAACCTAAACCCTCAGAGAGTGGAGTCTAACTTTCGTCTTCTTTCCGACCATGTAATGTTGAATCACTGTTGAGTCAGAAGCAGCACACCATCTAAGACACTTGCAGGCGGGAGGTCACGTTTCCCAGCTGCTGTCTTTAAAAGCAATCTGGACTAATCTGAGCTCTAGTTCAAAAGCGTCTGGACGGTCCTGAGGGTTTGCGGCCAGCATCTCCTTAATCAATTGCTTCATTCGCCCATTCATCGACTTTTTCTTCACCGGGATGAGGAGCTCCATTTTGGGGTTTTCCAGAAGTGCCTCCCCCACAGGCACAATTTCGGTCCCCTGCTTTACATAGCTCCCCAAGAGCTCCTTCTTGGTCTCTGTGTCTATGAAGGTGATCCTCTCCAGCATGGCCCAGATGATAATTCCCAGAGCAAAGATGTCAGCTTTTGCTGTGTAGTGTCCTTCCCATACTTCAGGAGCCATGTAGAAATCCGTCCCACACGCCGTGGAAAGGAAACACTTGTTTACGCTGACAGGTTCTTCAGGGTTCTGTCCAGAAGCCGAGCAAACTTTACTCAGACCAAAATCGGCCACTTTCAGTGTGGGTTCCAAGTCACTGGTGTCCAACCTGCTTTGAGAAATGAGGATGTTATCAGGCTTCAGGTCTCGGTGGATGATCTGGTTTTTGTGCAAGAAAGCCAAAGCACTGCTGAGCTGAAGCATAAAGCTGGTGTTCGTCTTTCGGTTGGGCTTCCTGGACAACAGATACTCGTTCATGTCTCCTCCGTCACAAAAATCCATCACAAACCACAAGTAATAGGCGCTTCTGGGATCAAAGGCAATTTCTCCTTTTAATGAAGTCTCTACAAGCTGCGCAGAGGGAGGAGAGAAGAAGGTACACATTTTGATTATAGAAAAGTTAAAGGGAGCTGGAAATAAGGTTCAGCACTTATGAGCTTACTGCCTTCAGAGGACTGGAGTTCAGGTCCTCAGCACCGTGTCAGTGGCTCACAACCACCTGCAACGAGAGCTCTGGGGAATCCAGTACTTTTTCTGGCCTCTAAGGGCATCTGCACTGACATATATATATATATATATATATATATATATATATATATATATATATATATATATATATATATATATATTCATCCTTGTCACAAACATAATTAAAAATTAATAAATCTATTTTTTATTTTTTCGAAACAGGGTTTCACTGTGTAGCCCTGGTTGACCTGAAACTTGCTTTGTAGACCAGGCTGACCTCTAATTCTGAGATCTGCCTGCTTCTGACTCCCTACTGCTGGGACTAAAGGCATGTGCCACCAACCTGGCTACACATCGTAAGTACACATAGGCTGGGCAGTGGCAGCACTCAGGAGGCAGAGGCATGCAGATCTCTGTGAGTTTGAGTGAGGACAGCCTGGTCTAAAGAGCGAGTTCTAGGACAGCCAGAGCTCACAGAGAAACCTTGTCTCAAAACCCATGCCCCCCCCCCCCCAAAAAAAAAGGAGCAGTGCTGGAGAGATGGCTCAGCAGTTAAAAGCACTGGCTGTTTTTTTCAGGGGACTCAGGTTCAGTTCCAGCACCCACATGGCAGCTCACAGCTGTTCCAGTTTCAGGGAATCCAACACCCTCATACAGACATGCAGGCAGGCAAACACCAGTACACATAAATAAAAAATTACCAACACAAGCTACTCTGGAGGCAGAGGCAGATGGATCTCTGTGAGTTAGAGGCCAGCCTGGTCTATAGAGTCTTCCAGGACTACACAGAAAAGCCTGTCTTGAAAAAAAAAAAAACAATTAAAGTTAGGACAGTTTGCAGTTTTATTGTTTCTGCAATGCTGGCAATTGAACCCAGGATCTTGTACATGCCAGGTAAGGTTGACTTTATTCTTTTTGTTTGTTTGTTTTTCAAGACAGAGTTTTGCTGGGTAGCCATGGATGTCCTGAAACTCACTCTGTAGACCAGGCTGGACTTGAAATCACAGAGATTCGCCTGTCTCTGCCTTCTGAGTACTGGATTAATGTTACCACCATCCAGCTAAGGCAAAGGTCTCTTAAACAGAAAGTAGGGGTCACACACACAAAACAAATTGCCAACAGTCAAAGGTTTAATAAATTTTCAGTTACCAAAAATTAATTCAAAACCGAATTGCAAAGTTGTCCGCTCTTATAGAAACATTACAGTTTTATTGGGGAAAACAAGGACTTCTGATATTTTTCTATTGTCATTAATCATCAAGCAAGTACTAAGGTGATCTATCAGTGGATTGTGTTGTGGTATAATGCTTAATTTGGGTACTATTTTCTTGTTGTTTTTTTTTTTTGTTTTTTGTTTTTTTCGAGACAGGGTTTCTCTGTGGTTTTGGAGCCTGTCCTGCAACTAGCTCTTGTAGACCAGGCTGGTCTCCAACTCACAGAGATCCGCCTGCCTCTGCCTCCCAAGTGCTGGGATTAAAGGCGTGCGCCACCACCGCCCAGCTGGGTACTATTTTCTTTCCTTTTTTTTCCCCCTCTGTTTTGAAACAGGGTCTCAAATAGTTCAAGCAGGCCTCAATAAATTCACCGTATAGCCAAGGCTGGCCTTGAACTTCTGCTCTTCCTGCTTCCATCTTCAGTGCTGAAATTATAGGTGTGCATCATTACACCTTGCTCAGGAGACCACAAGTCTAAGGCCTGCCTGAGTTATACCTGAGTTATACAGTGAGACTGTCTGGGGGAGGGGGTTAATTTTAAAAATTGCTGTTTTAAGGTGGGTATGGTGACACACACCTGTAACCTTAGCACTATAGAAGCTAAGGCAAGAGGATCACTAAATGCTGTTAGTACAGAATTTTGAACAATTTATGATTTGCCTTAAAACATATACCTACCATTTTGTACTAAACTATTTATATGAAACACTGTTGTTTTCACCACTGGTGTTCATAAAATAAAAACACTGACTGTGGAAAATGCTGGAGATGATCTATGTTCTACAGCAATGAACATTCACCCAATAATTTTTAAAATGGCTCTATTGTGTATGTGTGCACTCTTGAGTACGGGCCCCACCCCTGCCCCACACGAGCCAGAGGTTAACACTGGAGGCTGATTCTCTCCTGCCACCTTGTGGGACCTGAGGATGAAACTCAGGTGTCAGGCCTGCAGCAAAGTGTCTGCCCACTGCACATCATGCCAGGCCAGGATTTAACTCTTTATGCAGAAACAAACAAGCACATTCTCTTCATTCGTGTATAAGCCTGCTTCCTACTTTATACTTTAATAAAAGGTAACCAAAGAATTGCTTTAAAATGGAATAATTTATGATTTTTCCCAGTACATGTTTATTGCACACCCATATACCCAGGGTCACGCACATGTTTCTCTGGGGAGGCCACAAGTGGAAAGGTTTGGAAGCTCTGCTCTGCACTGAGATGAGTCCAGCACCAGCCTCCAACTGTAACTAGAAACCTCTGGAATATTTCATTTCATTAGTGCTTTTATGCATGCATTTTTTAAAAAAAAATTTCAGCACTTCAAAATACCACCTTTGTCCCTACTAAATACATACTAAACGTCTGAGCCGAGAAGTAGCATTTTAATAGCCCATTTTGGAAAGTGCCCAACTGGCCTACATTTTCTACACTGGCCAATATAACTAAATTCTATCACTTCCCAGCTCGTTGCTTCATAAAAAAAACCTAAAATATAGAGCAATATTGCTTTTAAATTATTTGTTATACGGTATTTTTTAGACTGGTGTGCTAAAAGGGGGAAGATTCAGAGCTGAGCTGTTGAAGAGTGAGAAACTGGTAAATTTATATTTAAATTAATTACTACCACTACTTCCTCTGGCTATTCTGGCAAAAGCAAAGGTGCCCCTCCGTTCTGCCTCCCATGCAGACGGCAGCAATGGCAATGGCCTACAGGAGCCTTCTGCATGGTGTACCAGGGCAGAGAATGAGACAGGTGTACTGCTTCTAACTGACTTCAGCTTTCTGTCTCTCCCTAACATCTGAACTTAATAAACAGCCTTGTGTAACACAGAATCCCAGTGCTCAATAGTGGTTTAGAGGGCAGGTGTGGTGGTGCATAGAATTCTGGTCAGCAAGAAGGGACATGTGTGGTTCTCGCCCACCTATCTAAATAATTATTGTTAAACTCTGTAAATTTTAAATAGTTTGTAATTCTTTTTTTTTTTTTCTAGACAGGGTTTCTCTGTGTAGCCCTGGCTATCCTGAAACTGGCTCTGTAGAACAGGCTAGAATCAAACTTCCAAATATCCACCTGCCTCTGCCTTCTGAGTGTTGGGATTAAAGGCGTGCACTGCTGCCTAGCTTAATTTTTCTTTTTTAACTCCCTAGATAGGGTCCCACTCTGTACCTCAGGCTGACCTTGAACTCTATATGTAGCCCAGGCTGGCCTTGAACTCATAATAATCCTTTCTCAGTCTCACATGTTAACACATATATGCACATATTATGTGCAGCACACCCAGTCAATTCATAATTCTTCAGCCCTAAGATATATAGATTCCCTATTGTATGTTCCTACATCATCTGTGTCACTAGTCTGAAACATACAGACTGAAGGCTGCAAAGTCCTGAGGCATGAAATTGAGTGCTTCTAAGTGTCTGTTTTACATTTTCTCTTGGATAAGGATTTTTAGCTATCAGGAATTAATTTAATGATTTCAGCTGAGAACAAGGAAGAATATATCTAGAAAAACATAAAGGAAATGAAAATTTATACAGATAATAAAGATCATGCATAGGAACTCTCTGGTTATGTTATAGATCTGTGTATTGACTATATTGCATTGTGCTGTTTTGATACAAAATTCTATTGATAAATATATGGTCAACTACGCTGGGTGAGGTAGGACATGTCTTTTAATCCAGCACTCATAGGCAGAAACAGGTGGATCTCTGTAAGTGTGAGGTCAGCCTGGTTTACATAGTGAGTTCCAGACTAACCAGGGCTACAGAGACTGTCTCAAATGAGTAAATGAAGAAAAATCTGGCTAACTTATAAATGCATAGAAAAGACTATTTTATTTCAACACAGGTACCTATTTCTGAGTTCTTCTGTGCCAAATCTTGTCTCAGCACTACCTCTGTCTTTGACTACCCAGGGAAGGCAGACGTGATTAGTGATTACCATAACACATGAACAAATAGCTACTAGGAAATTTCAAGTCATTCTGATAGCAATACAGGTCTGTAAGGCTTTAAAGAGCAAAAGAGATTTACTTAAAAAAGTAATTTAAATACAAAAATCACTTAGTCAAATCGGATACTTCATATCTTAAGACCTCAAAGTACTAAACGATACATAATTGTTACAGTTGCTGGATCTGGACTCAGTATTAAACAATATCTAATTCTTGCTACAGTTGCTAGTTCTGAATTTACACTAAATCAAATGTATTAACATCTTCATTTTTCCATCCACAGGGATTGTGTACCTAATCTCTAAAATTCAATGCAGAGTTGACAAGGGTTAGGAGGGAATGTAGTTTATGTACTATGCCCCAAACCCTAGGCTCAATCTCTAGCACTGACAAAAAAAAAAAAAAAAAAAAAGATTTCCAATCTTTTTTGAGACAAGGTTTCTCTGCGTAATATGACAGTCTTGACACTCACCCCATAGATATGCCTGCCTCTGCCTCCTGAGTGCTGGGATTAAAGGTATGTGCCACCACTGCCTTGCTCCAATATATACATATTTTTTTAATCATGGCAACGTAAGTACTTTTAGAGAGTTAATAATGAAGACAGTTTTTAAACTTTTCTAAATTATTTATTTTGTGTAGGTGTGGGTGTTAAGAGAACAGCTCTCAGGAGTCCACGCCTTCTTTCTACCATGTGGGACCTGGACATTAAACTCAGGTTACCAGGTTTGGCAACAAGGTCCTTTACCCTCTGAGCCTTTTTCACAACATCAAACAGAGCTTTTGTTATTGTTGTTAACTCTCTTTGTTTTAACTGCTAAATTACATTTATTTATTCTATGTGTGTATTTCAAGTATGTGCATATATGTAGTGCTTACATGCATGTAGGACATTGTGCAAGCATGGAGGTCAGAGGATTTTTGTCCTGGAACTCATGATTCAGTCCAGGCATGTCTCAAACTCGATATACAGGTGAGTCTGGTCTTAAACTCCTGAGTCTCCTGCCTCCACCTCCCAAGCCCTAGGATTATAGGCAAATACCAATATACTCTTGTAAGGCTTATGTTTAAACCTGTGCCTTCTAAAAAAGAGAAGTTCAATTACCGATGGGTAATTGATTACTATTACTGATTGTGGTGTTTTTCCTTGTCTTCTGTGTTTATTTTCAGAAGAATTGGTTTCCAGGAACTGAACTGTGATGCTAGTCTCAAAAACCCTCTAATTCCCACTCGTCCTATTCCTACACAGACTGGCAAGTACCAGGCATAACGGGTGGCTTATGTTAATTTTAGGTACGTGCAGCACAAGCTTAAAGCAAATATCTCCTCTATCTTCTGAAGACCTCTGTCTGCACCTAGCCATAAAACACCTGCGTTAAGGGAGAAGTTCCTCTGACACTCTTCACTTCCTCTTGCTGACCAATCTTACGTTCATTTCCTATCCAGTGACACATACCTGTAAATAAAGGGAAGAATTAGAGCCGTGGGACATCTTTTGCACCATCCCATCTTTTTGCAGAATGCACTCTTCCAAGTGAATCACATTTGGGTGCTGGCTCTTGATACTGCTTAGTGCCCAGAACTCTCGCAGGGCTAGTTCAACATTTTCAGGTGCGTGGCATCGAATTTTCTTCACTGCTACTCTTGCAGAGGTCTTTCTGATGACTGCTTCATAAACAACACCGTAACTACCTCGGCCTACCTCCCGTATTAGATCGTACTTTGGCTGGCTACTCACCATCTTCAAGGTCGAGGTTTCTGGAAAAATCAACAAAGTACTCTGTTGAAATCAAGTATACCTATTGGCTTGTATTTAACTGTTTCAGCGCCTGTGGGAACTGAAGGGTATCTAGCTACACCTTGGACAAATCTACCAATAATAATAAAGGTAACAGATAGCACTTACCATGTATCAGGAACTATTTCAAGTATTTTAAAATAGTTCTTAGAGCTTTTGTTGTCTTTGAGTCAGGGTCTTGCCAAGTTCCCTGGTCTGGAGCTTGACAGGTAGGCCAGGCTGGCTTCAGAGGCCATGGTTACAGAACCATCATTACTGACTTTTTAAAAGTTTAATCTAGGTGTGTGAGTGCAGGCATGCTCATGCCATGACACACCTGTTCAAAGACTGCCTTGGCTCTCCTGTCATCGCTGGAGCACACGGCAGGTTAGATGCCCGTGAACTTCTGGAGACTGTTCTGGTTCTGCCTCCCATGTCACCATATGACATCTGGCTTTACATTGGTTCTGCAGACCCAAACTCTGCTCCTCAGACTTGTTTGGCAAATGCTTTATCCACTGAACTCTATCTCCAGGCTCCACCCACCCACCCCTTTTTTGGACAAGGTCTCACTGTGTAACCCTGGCTGGCCTCCAGCTCACAGAGATAAGCCTGTCTCTGCTTCCCCAGTGCTGGAATTAAAGACTTGTACCACCATGCCTTGCTTTCAGTCCTTTTTTAAAAGACAGGATCTTGCTAGTATGTAGCTCAAGATGGCTTTCACCTTTAAAAGCTGATATTCTGTGTGCATGGATGTGTCTTTCTGGAACTCAGAGGACAGTATGTGGCAGTCCTCTCCTTCTACCGTGCGGGTCCTAGGAATTGAGCATGAGCTGTAAAGCTTGGCAGAAAATAACTTTACGCACTGAACCATCTCAACAGTCCTGGCTGCCGCTCTCTCGGGAACAATGGAATTACAGGTGTGTGACACCACACCTGGCTAAATTCATGAATCCTTAACCATAATCTGTGTAGGAAGGGGTGGGTGTTGTTAACAGTCATTTTTAGAAGTGAGGAGAGAAAAACACAGAGAGGGCAAGTAAACAACCAGTCGTCATGCGGCTTGTTGGTTCCGACATCCGTGACTTAAACCACTAAGCTACACTGCTCTCTACAGGAACTGCTGGCACAGTTAAAACAAATCCAAAGCGGGGCAGTAGTGGCGCGCGCCTTTAATCTGAGCACTCAGAAGGCAGAGGCAGGCGGATCTTTGAGTTCAAAGCCAGTCTGGTCTATAGTATGAGTTCCAGGACAGGCAGGGCTACACAGAAAACCGTGCCTCAAAAAACAATAAATAAATAAATAAACAAACAAACCCCCAAATTCAACATTTTAGTTTACTGATCCTCAAAAAAAAAAAAATAAAGAAAGCAATGTATGTACATCTTCTTAAGGTTGACACATTTATGAAAAGTAATAAAAACACTGAAATAATATGCCAGGCGGTGGTGGCGCACGCCTTTAATCCCAGCACTCAGGAGGCAGAGGCAGGCGGAGCTCTGTGAGTTCGAGGCCAGCCTGGACTACAGAGTTCCAGGACTTGCTCCAAATCTATAGGTAAAAAAACAAAACAAACAAAAACACTGAAATACAAAACCCCCTCACAGTTAGAAATACAAATACCCAACTCCTGTTTATGGACTGAAAGTGTACAACATCGCTTTTGTTTTGTTTGAACTCACTACGTAGCAGATGATCCTGAACTACTGATCCTCCTGCCTCCACCTTCCAAGTCCTGGCGTTACAGGCATGTGCCAGTATGCTTGGCTATTTACTTATTTATTATTTTACAAATAAACACAAGTTTTGTAGAAGAACCGATCCATAAAATATAAGTGGCTTAGAATAGATCAACCTTTTTTTTATTACTATTATTATGCTTTAAGATAGCTACTTAATTCTAGGTAATTGTTGCCAAAGGGGAGGAGAGCATCTTAGACCTCAAAGGGAAGTCTGACCAAAGTTCTTTGGAGTTCCAACTTAATAAATCACTTAGAGGCAAGCTGGAGCACAGGCCCTACAGAGCCCCTCTGTGAATGGAGAGCCTGCAGCGTACTTCCTCACGCCTCAAATGCTCACTTGCCGACTGTCAGCGCGGGCAGGAAGAGTAACCTGAAATTGTACTTGCGATGCACAATCAGAGCAACAAAAAGTGACTGGCCTTGGAAGCCGACACTCCGGGAGCAGCTACTTTAAGCTCATAGGCCAGATTTAAAAGAAAATGACAGCTTCTGGGGGTTGCCTTGAGCGCTACTTCCTTTAATTGCCCGCTTAGCCTTCCAGCTCTCACTGTCTTTCCTAATGTCAGATTTCCTGGCCCTGGCGGACCTTCTGCCCCGCTCTGGCGCCGATAGCCAGGTACTACGCGCTTGCGAGCGACTCTTTTCTCTGCAGCAGTCCCTTCTCTCCCTCCAGTCATCGTCCCCCGAGAGAGGAGCACATTATTCGAGAAGGTGTCTGTCAACTCCCGGGGCTCCTGGCGGGAGAGACTCCCCGGTGAAGCATCCTTCGGTGGCATCTCCCGGGCCCTCGAGCCTGCCCTGCTCCCCGGGAGCTGGGCACCGGCCGGCCTGGGCATGCACCTGCCGGTGCCGGGGAAGGGACGAGCGAGGCCAGAGGTGCTGCCGCCGGGGAGCCTCAGGCCGCGCTCGCTGCCCCGGCCGCGAGATCACTCCCGGCGACAGTCCCCGGAAACCCCGAGGGACCCTCCCGTGGCTCCGCAGCCGCTTCAACTCCCGGAGGCTGCAGACTAGGAGCCGGGGACCCGGGAGTGGCCCGGGCGGGAACGGAGGCCGCAGTCCCGGCCGCTGGCCGGGGCAGCGCCGGGCCTTCCCGGGGATGACTCCGCTGCGAGGTCTGTGACAGGCCTGCCGGGGACAGAGACACATGCAGGGAGGTCGGTTCTGACCGCAGGGCATCCGTGCCACCACGGAGGGCCAGATTTACCTCAGGGCAGCCGCCGCCGCTTCTCCCTCTCATGAGCTCTGCAGGCCGCCATTATCGGGCAGCTCGCGCCTCGGCTGCCGCGGCCTCCAGTCAGAAGCCGGCGCGCGCCCCCGTGGTGCGCGGACACACCCCCTCACGCCGGGCCCCGCCCCCTCCGGCTTTCCGTAGTGCGCGTGTGCCGCCCAGAGCCGCCGAGCGCCGCCGGCTGGGTGAGCGCGGTGTGCAGCGCTCGGGCGCCGCTGCTCTCCGGCGCTGCAACCGAGCCGAGCGTCGCCGGCGGTGTGCACGCTGCAGGGCCGACCACTGGTGCCCTGGCCCGCAGGGGTGGCGGCCGGGGGCGGTCGCCCTCTGCCGCAGCGGGCGCAAGTCCCGGGACTTCGGGGAAGCTGCTGACAGTGCCCCGGGCCGCCCTCCCTGTCCCCTGCCGACCTACCGGACGGCGGGCTGCAGTGCGCGGTTCGCTGCGACCGGACGCCCGGCGCATCTTCCTCGCGGATGGCGGGTCTGGGCAGCGGGCCCGTGCGGCTGGTGCTGGGAGGCTGCACCTTCTGTCTGAGTCACCCAGCCGTGTTGGCGGGCGGCACCGTGACCCAGGCGGCGACGCGGGATTGAGTGCGATCATCGGGGAGGACGCCGTCCCCTGCCCCACCGGGGCGGTGGTATCTCCCTTTAAAGAAGCCGGAACCTCATTGTTCCCCCGGCGGTGAGGATCGCGGTCGCCCTGTCGGGTGAGGGAGGTAGGGCGCGGCTGACCCGGCTGGGCTGCGGCACCTCAGCTAAGAAATGGGTTAAGCAAGATGTGAAAATTAGCCAGTAAGAGGCTAGATGTAATGGGCCAAGCAGTGTTTAAAAGAATACAGTTTCCGTGTAATTATTTTGGGTAAAGCTAGCCGTGCGGGGAGCTGGGCGGGAACGCAGCCCACCGCTCCTCCTACACTAGGGGTGTCGGGTTGGAGGGTGAAACGACAAAGCCAAGTCGCTTCTGGCCGAAGCCATTCAAATCCCCACAACTGTCAATCCCCGCAGCAGTCGGCCCGAGCTCTACCGTCAGGCTGACAGTCACTCGGAGACCAGGACCAATTGGCCAGCCCGTTAGTTACACAGATTCTGTAAGCATCCACCAGAAACGCCCATTCTTTTCTTTATTATTCTGCATCTACCGTTTGCTAATATGGTTGATCCTGTGCTCATTGACGTGTATAAGGCACGATGTCACTGAGCTCCAGGTTCGTTTTCCTTAGTCTTCTGTTTAGGGGACTAATATTTGGGAGCTTGGGAACTTTTTATATAATCTGAACCAAACTCCACAAGTAAGAAAGGCTTTACTATTGGTCCTGCTTTCACAGAAGAGAAAGCCGACTTCTGTTATATTTGACCAAATTGTGTCTAGAAAATCTGCTTCGGCGCCTCTCCTATAAAGTTCCAGTCCTCTGTTTAGAGTTTGTCCCGAGTGCCCTCCTGGTACTGGTGTTCACCGGTTTGCTGGGAATGCTGACGCCAGTCCAGACTTGTTTCCTACCCAGGAAAAGAGCGGGGCACCGGAATGCTGTGTAGAGAGCTGCTACCTATGTTACAGAAGGACGGAATAGGAAGCGATCTCTCCGTCAGAGTAGTTTTCTGTTCATTGCAGTTATTAAATGTCACAGGAACTTCGGGACATACCCACCCGTTCTGGCTGTTTCATTATTATTGTGATTAAAAAGAAAAATAAAACAACAAAAACCCACTCACCAAAGGTACTTTAGGGGAGGAAAGGGTTGTCTGACTTAAACTTCCAGGGTTAGGGTCACAAATTCATCATTGAGGGCAGTCAGGGCAGGACCTGGGGAAGGCTGCTTACCGGCTTGCTCCCAGGTCCACGGTTCATTTCTTTCTCAAACAGCCTGGACCAGCCCGCCTAGAAGTAGCACTGCCCACATTGGGGTGAGCCCTCCTTTGCCAGTTAGCAATCAAGAAAACCCCCATAGACATGCCCACAGGTCAGCCTGATGGAGGCACTCCCCCAACTCAGACGTCCTCAGAGGGCTGAGCTGGAGCTAGGCAGGAGAGCAGCGTTTTTGTTTTTTTCTTTTTTTATTGGTTTTATTGAACTATACATTTTTCTCTGCTCCCCTCCGAGAGCAGCGCTTTATACCTCGCCATCTTCTGTGTCAATGATAAAACAACTGCTTGTATTTAAACTTTAAAAAGGCCTATCAGTCCAATACAGGAAGAGTTGTCCACATTTAGGCAGGGTCTCACTTCGTAGCCCTGGCTGGTATTGAATTTTACTCAGTCGACCCAGCTGGCCTTGAACTGACAGATCTACCTGCTGCTTCCTGAGTGCTGGGATTAAAGGTGGGCACCACCACACCTGGTCAGCCTTTAAAAAAAAAATGTGTTTGTGTGATGTATACATGGAAATCAGAGGACAACTTTGTGTACGCCATCTCTCCCTCCTCCTTCGATGGATTCCAGGGATTGAACTCTGGTCACCAGGCATGTCAGGTGCCTTTGATTTCTGAGCTATTGCACCAGCCCAACCTGGAACTCTTGATCCTCTTGTCTCTTGTGTCCCCACACTCCTGAGGGTGGGGATGTTAGAGGAACGCACCGTCACACCTGACCTAATTGCTTATGTTTAAAAGATAAACAATGGGGTTGGTATGGTGGCGTGTGCCTTTAACTCCAGCTCTTGGGAAGCAGAAGCAGGTGGATCTTGGTGAGTTAAAGGCCAGCCAGGGCTACAGAGAACAAAAGGTAAACACTGGAAGAGTAAACAGCTTCTGAAAGCGGCTGTGTTGGTGGGAGAGGGAGAGACATGGACGAGACCCGTACACCGTTGTGCATAGGTAAGATGCTGAAAGCCTATAAGTGTTTTACATATTTGTAAAAGGAGAGTGCCCCCAATAAAAATGTAATAAATTACTTTTAAATTAAGAATTTTTTTTGTACTTCCCTAGTGAGAACTGTTTAGGGAGAATAAAACTGCTCAGAAATGCCATTGTAGGCCCAGTGGGATGGCTGCACCGTAGAGGTGCTTGCTAACAAGCATGACACCCTGAATTCTGTCCTTGGAACCCCTGCAAGTGTTCCACTGACCTCTGGATATACACCACAGCACATGTGAGCCCACATAGACGTACGTGCACAATAAATAATGTAAGTTGAAATTGAAGCCATATTCATATTGCTAGTTTGAAAGTGATTCTTAGGCAGTGGCTTTAGTAACCGAGGCCTTCTAGAGTAGGTAAGAGTCAACCGTATAAGAGAAGTTTAGGGTAAAGTTAAATCTGAGTTAGATAGCATTTTAAAATACGTATTTTTCTCTTTAAATACTTGCAGGCTGGAGGGATGACTGCAGTTAAGAGCACCGGCTGCTCTTCCAGAGGACCCAGGGTCAATTCCCAGCATCCACATGGCAGCTCACCACTGGCTGTACCTCCAGTTCCAGGGGGTCTGAACCCTCATCAATGCACAAAAAATTAATTTTAAAAAATACCTTTGGGGCTGGAGAGATGGCTCAGAGGTTAAGAGCATTGCCTGCTCTTCCAAAGGTCCTGAGTTCAATTCCCAGCAACCACATGGTGGCTCACAACCATCTGTAATGAGGTCTGGTGCCCTCTTCTGGCCTGCAGGCATACACACAGACAGAATATTGTATACATAATAAATAAATATTTCCAAAAAAAGAAAAAAGAAAAAAAAAGAAAGAAATATTAAAAAAAACATTCTAAGGCAAGCCATGGCGATATATCCCAGTACTTTGGAGGCAGAGGCAGGCAGGTATATCTGTAAGTTCAGGGTCAGCCAGGGCTATACAGTGAAACCTGTCTCAAAACAACAAAGTGGGGTAGGGTTGGGGGGAGATGGTTCAGTGTTTAAGAGCACTTGCATGGTGGTTCACAACCATTGTAACTCCAGTTCCGAGGGATCCGGTACCTTCTAACCTCTGAAAGCACCAGTTATGCATGTGGTATACATATGCATGTGGGTAAAACACTCATGCACATAAATCTAAAAATACAAAGAGCTGGAGAGACAGCTCAGCAGTTAAGAGGGTTACTGGCACGGACTGCTCTTCATAAGGACCCATGTTCGATCCCAGCACCTGTTAATCCCATAGACTAGAGGAGAAAAGCCACTGACCCAAATTACAGCTGAATTAGAGCCAGATTTATTCATGTACACATCAGAGCCGAATAGGCAGCTGTCTCTCCCTAAGGCTGTTTCATGAGACCAGCCCTAAGCCAATTTCTCAACTGCTTTTGTAGGGTAAAACCATAGGGTAGGTGACTTTGTCAGCAAGTGTGGTTACAGAGTGAGACCACATAGTTAAGGAAATCTTCCTGGAATATTTGTTACTGAACATTGTATGGTTACTGGGGCTGGTGGCAGCTCACTCTGAGAAACAGAAATTTAAGTTTTCAAATATCTGTAACTACAGTTTTAGGGAATCAGATGTTCTCTTCTGTCTGTGTGTCTTTGTGTGTTTAAATCTCTAGACCCTTGCCCGGCTTGCGAATGGTCCTGTAGTGCAGGCTCCGCAATACAGGAGTAGTACCGTAGTACATGTAGTAGTACGGACAGCACACCCAGCACTGGAGAAAGAGCTCAAAGTGTAGACTGTAAGTTGGCAGTCCATGAAGGAAATCATTGCCCTTAGGAGACTGAGTCAAGGGTATCGTGAGTTCAAGGCCAGCCTAAGGTGCATACTCTTCCTCAAACAATGACAAGAACAACAGAAAAGAAACATGTAGCACGCGTAATAAAAACCCAGAGACGGACATCGGGGATCAACCTGAAGATCAGAGAAGCAAAGCAGCCAGCCACTAGAGAGCACTTACCTCTAAGAAATTCTCAGACTGAAAAGAGAACTAGTTCCTGTCTCATCCCGGCTTAGATTCCTCTCCAGTGCTAGGGTTAAAGGCGTGCACCACTACTACCCGGCTTTTGTGGCAAATTAGTGTGGTTACTGGGATTAAAGGTGTGTGCCACTACTGCCTGGTCTGTACAGCTGGCCAGTGTGGCTGTTTTACTCTCTGATCGTAAGGCAAGCTTTATTTATTAAAGTACAGAAAAAAAAACCTTCAATCAACGCTCTTTTGGTA